TTTTTTTTAAAATAATAAAAATAAAGTGGATAGTACCTGAGAAACAGCATCTGAGGTTGACCTCTGACCTTTACACATGCACACACACACACACACACACACACACACACACCTACCCCCCCATGAACACTCATACATATAGACATGAACACTCACATACAAACATGCACACATGCAAATGTGAACACACATGAACATACAACATCAACACACATACACACATGAACAAGTACACATTTGCACATGAATGCATACATACACACATTAACATTCACATACATATTAACATTCACACATACAAATATGAACACACATATAGATATTAACACACATGAACACATGAATATTCACATACACATACACACATGAACACTCATATACACACATGAACACCAGACATACACACAAATTCACATGTACGCATGAATTCATATATACACATGAATACTTATACACATGAACTCACACATACACACATGAATACTCACACATACATATACATATGAACTCACACATACACTTATGCATATACATATACTCAGACATATACACATGAACTCGTAAGCTCTCACACAGACACATGTATTCACACACACAAACTCATAGTACACACACGAACACACACACATGCACTCACACATGCGCATGACCTCATACATGCATCCACACATGAACATTATTACATGCACACTCTCACATTCGCACACACACTCACAAAGGCGCCTCATCACCAGGTGGTCTGCTCTTTGAAACAGCTGCTTGGATGGTCCCCTTTCCCTTTTTATTCTGGGACGACACTGAGGGCCAGCCTGTGATGCCTGAGGCTGCTGTGGGCTAACTGTCCCTATCCCCAGGTCCTAGGTTGCAGTCCTGATCCCTGGGTCCACCAATTCAGCCTCACCTGGGGTCAGGATGGCTGCAGGTTCATAGAGTGAAGGTGAGGCCATGCTACAGCCTTGGCCGATACGGTACAGCCAGTGAAGAAAGGGGTGTCTGGACACAGACGCCCACAAGGGGACAACCACGTGAGGGCCCTCGAGCAACACCCAGACACGGCAGCTGCAGGAGTTGCTGGCCTTGACCTCAGGCTTGCAGGCGCCAGAGTTGGAAGAGTGAATTATTTTTAATTTTTGTGGTGCTGGGACTGGGTATTAAATACAGTTCTTCACACTTGCTTTGCTCAGCTGCTGAGTACCCCCACCCCCCACCCCCACCCCAGCTGCTGACTTCCATGGTATGAGTTTGGGGGCTTGGGGAAGCTGCTGCAAAGGGCTGTCTGGTTGCACAGCCACCCTGGCTGCCTGGGGGCTTTTGGGGAGCTCTGAGGCACGGGGTTTCCCCAGTGTACGGCCCCACCCTAGCCCACACAGGAAGGGGGATTGGTTTCGCACTGAAGTGACTGAGGACAGCAGCCACAGGGCTGGGCCTCCCCAGGCTGTGATCAGAACTTGAGGCACAGGAAGAGCCAGGTGCCTGACCCCTGCCCTGAGTCATAGCCATTCTGTCTCCAGGGACAGCACATCACAGGGAGACCCTCTGAGCTCCTGGCCTGAGCTTCGGGAAGGAGCGCAAGAGGAGTTGCCCTGGGCACACCGCTCCTCTGGCCTGGCTTGAGAGACAGACTTGGGGACACACCAAGGCCTCCTCAGGCCTTCTCCAGGCTGTCTGGGAACAGAGCCCTTTCTCTGAAACTCCCTGCAATAGCAGACAACATGGCTTGAGACCGGCACCTTCCCAGCAGTGCAAGACACAGGTCAGTCCCCAGAGCCACAGGGTCCACAGGCCCCAGATGCTGCCACCATACCCTCCTGACCTGGTGGAAGGCAGACCAGGGCTGTGGGAAAACTCTATGCTATGCTGCCCTGAACTTGCTCTGACAGGTCCTGGTGCTGGGGCCCAGGGTTCATGTGCCAGGCCACACTGGCATATCACACTGCCTTAAACTGTCACCCAGTGCCCTACAGTTTACAGAGCATCTGCAGCTCTCCGACACCAGACATCACCTCCCAGTTTACTGTGCTGCATCACACAGCCCTTAACAAGCAATCTGTATTCAAATGTCCCCAGCTCCATCTGAGCTCTACAGTTTATATGGCACATGTATACTCTTTAAAAAATTTTTTTTAAAAAATACTTTATTTTTATTTTATGTGTATGAGTGTATTGCCTGCATGTATGTGAGTGCATCCATGTCATGCTATGCTGCAGAGGTCAGAAGAGGGCTTCAGATTACCCTGGAACTGGTGTTAAGGACAGGTTGTACCCACCATGGAATCCTGGTCCTCTGCAAGAACAGTCAGTGCACTTAACCACGGAGCCATCGCTCCAGTCCCACATGTATACTCTTTAATGCTGCGTGTACACACACAATCTCCCTTTAATGCATGATGCCCCGCACTTTATTTACATAGACACACATGGTCTCTCCACCTCACTCAACCCTCAGTTCACACAGGCATATACACTGCTGTCTGCATCCCCTCATACACTCTGCAGTTCACGCAGGCTCATGCACAGCCTCTGTCATAGCACCCCATAGTTTGTACATGGACTCAAATACCACCTTGAGGAGGTGGTGTCAAGACCCAGGAGTTCTATTCTGGGATGCTCAGTCAGTGGGAAGGCTGTGGTGGCCAGCAGAATGCAGAAAGACTTGCCCTGTGTCTCTCTTGCACCAATGTGAACCATTCCAGTTCAGGCCAGGAAGTGCTGGCAGCTGGCACACAAATAACCTGGACCACAGGGCTGCTGGTGACAACACCTTGCCTCAGAATAGCTGTTCGAAGCCTGGGCCTCGGAGCGCAGGCTGGGGGTGGAACCCTGCAGGCGAGGACCAGAGAGCAGTGGAGGTCCCCCCAGGGAAGTCCCATGAAGGGATGAATGCGTAGGGTGGGACAGTGGGGCTGGAGGCCCAGTGCATCTCTGTTTTCTCTCCCACGATGGTGAGGCTCAAAAAATCACACTGGACCTGCTCATGGTGGGTTACCAAGGATGTGTAAATGCACAAATGGGGTTACCAGGCACCCCCCAGCTCCTCCTCCCTATAACAGTTCCAAATGGGCCCCATAGGCCCAGTGTGTGCAGCCAAATGACACTCCCTTCTCCTCTTCCTCCCCCTCCTCCCTCTCCTCATACTCCTGCCCCCTTCTCCTCCCTATCCCCTTCCTCCTTCTGCCTCCTTCCCCTCCCCTTCATCCCTCCTCCTTTCGGTGCTCCACCCTCCTCCCACCCCCTCTCTCGCCTCCCTTTCCTTTCCACTTTTCCTTCTCTCCCTCCTCTTTCCTCCCCCTCCTCCCTGTCCTCACACTCTGCCCATCATCTCTCCTCCTGTTCTCTTTCCTCTATACTCCCCACCCCTTCTCTATCTTCCCTGTCCCCACACACCTGCCCCCTCTTCCTCTTCCTGCCTCACTTTCCTTCCCCCCTTTCTCTCCTCCCTCCCTCTCCTGCTCCCCTCTTTCTCTCCTTCCTCCTCCTCTCTCATCTCTTCCTTCTAAGTCACCTGTTACCCAGACACACCCCAGTGTCTCCTCCCTGCAATCAGGACCTGATCAGACTCAGGGTGTGCCACCAAGTGCCACCTAAGTCAAGGCTGCAGAGGTGACCCTAGGAACCTCTCTGAGTAGCACCAGCAACTCCAGTGGTGCTGGGCGGGTCACTCCAGGACCTTGGGTTTACAAAGTGAGTCAACCCAAGAAAAAGGCTGAGCAAACACCAGGCTGGGTGGGGCCAGGTGGGGCCGGAACTGAGGGAGTAAGGCTCTGCCAAGGTGGGGCATGGGGGGGGTCACTGCACTCAGGAGTGGGGTCAGAGTGAGTCTCACCCTGCTTCCAAGAAGGGGAAAGTTCCCAGAAGGTGAGCAACTTACCCAGCCGTGCAGCTGGCCCAAGGCTGACCTCTCCCTGACCTCAATCTGGGTGCCTCCTGCCTGTCCACAGAATGGGGATTTCCGAGGGGATTGATCCCTGCCCCTGTGTCCTCTGGGACCTCCCTCAACCCCTGGGCTTTGAAGCCAAACATCAAGGACTAGACTAGTGGCATGAAGGCCCTGCATCCTCATGCCAGGGCTCCATGGGAGCAGACCATGCTTATCAGAGAGGGGCCATGACTGACCTTGGGTCCTATACCACTTGTGTAAGACAGAGGGCCACTGGAGAAAACACAGGCAGGCAGGGAAAGAGCTGAACAGGGAGGAGAGATGGCCAGGGCTCTGTCCAACTCTGTCCGGCTTCCCAAGTCCCCAGGGAAGCCCATGTGAGCCACACATCCAGAAGACAGAGACAGCAGAGGGACCACCATGTCCTTCCCTGGAGGAGCCCCTGGGCCCACGTGGAAAGCTCATCATAAGAGCCCCAGGACTGTGCTCAGGGGGACTGAGATGTGCCACACTGGGCCAAGCCTCAGGGGCTGGACAGTGCCAGGCAACGCTGGGAGCCTATTCCAGGGAGGAGCAGTGCAGGCAGCAGTTGGGAGGGATCCAGGAGGTCTGAGCTGGGCTCACACAGAAAGCTGGGGCTGGAAACTAGGTAGGTCCAGCAGGCTTTACCGGCCCCTTCCAGGAGAGGGGAAGGTAAAGTGCCCGTGCCTGTGAAGCCCAGGGTTATCACCGCCTCAGGATCTTTGTTGGTTGATAGATGAAGAAATTGAGGCTCAGAGAGCTCTGATAGCTCCCAGTGCACCCCGGTCCACCCAAAAAGCACTGTCAGCCAATGGCAAGCTGCACTTGAGAAGCTGAGGCTGGAGGGTCAGGAGCTTTAGGCCAACCTTGGCTACAGAGTAAGACCCTGCCACAAAGAGAGAGAGAGAGAGAGAGAGAGAGAGAGAGAGAGAGAGAGAGAGAGAGAGAGAGAGAGAGAGAGAGAGAGGTGGGAGTGGCGAAATCCTTTCCATCGGGCTCCTGGGACAGCATCAGCAACCTTTCCCCAAACACTCACGGTTGCAGCCCCTACTGACCATCCCGAGGGACTGCCCAGTGTCACCCGGGGCTAGCCAGCACTGTTTACCAGCACCCTGACAGAGCCCTTTGTGTACTTACTGGCAGTCGGAAAATGTGGGCCGGTAGTAGAAGGGGGGTACTTTTGACTCAAATGCGGCTCTGGCGGCCTCATTCCCGTGGGATGCCATGAACTGCAAGAGAAAGGGGGCAGGATCAGAGTCAGGGGGCCCCTGGGTCAGAGAAAAGGACAGCCACTGTCCCGGGGCCACAAGCTCTAGTGAGTAGGGATGGTACCCGATGGGCTGGTGATGTGGCTCAGCATGTTACAGTGCTTGTCACACAAGCCTGGCAATGTGAGTTTGATTCCCAGAATCTAGGGTGGAAGGAGAGAATCAACTCCTTAAAGCTGGCCTCTGACCTCCACATGTACAGCATGGCATGTATGGGTCTCCTCTCACACACACATCATACACAGATTCATTCTCTCTCTCTCTC